AGGTTCAATAGGTCCAATAACGTCGATATTAACTGTTTCGAAAGGTAATCCTGGCCTTCTGACCGGTGTGATGGGAATCTTGTCAGATCGCTTTTCTGGACTTTTCAACTGACAATCTTTGCACGTATTTACAAAAGGTTTCGACACATCTTGTGCTAATCCAGGCCAATAAAATGAAATATCGTATTCGCTCCTTTGTTTTTCTTATTCCAAGATGTGCACCGAAAATGGAACTATGTGCTAATTCCAACACTTGTACTCTTCTACTAAACGGAAGCACTAACTGAAAAACAGTCTGTCCTAATATTTTTTCTTGGTGATGTAAAAGATGATCAATAAATAAATAATTTCCTTTTTTTTCTATTGCTAGCTTCCATGCTTCTCTCAGCGACGGACAGTTAGCTTGCTCTTCGCGAAGGCGTTCAGCAGACGATAAGTCTGTGTTTACATAAACACTCGCCTTCTCCCCTTCCTCCTCTTCGTTTTTCTCCTCCATAAGCATTAGCGGGGGGGGGGGGAATCGACGCTGTCGTTTGACTGTGCATTGGCGAATAAAGTTTGTAAGTTTTCGCTTCCGTAATTATTTCTTTCTGCGTTTGGTTCTTCTCCCGCAGGATTAATCAACAGTTCGTATATATCTGGAGTTATTAGGCAAGGCACATTTAGCTTATCAGTCACTGCAATTAATATATCCACAAAATTAAATATATTGCTTCCATGATCTTTATGGTAAATAGGTACACGGCAAACTTTTGCTTCAATTGGTTGTCCGAAAGCAGGTGTTAGCAATATTTTACCTCCTTCTCTCTCCTCTAAATTTGGAATGAGCGATGAATGTACGATCGTTATCTGCGTTCCAGAGTCTACGATAGCTTCGATTTTCTCAGAGTTAATAAAAATATCTACTTTTTGCAGTGGTTGAAAGATGCGTTCTGCGAATTCGGATCGTAGATGGGATGAGTCTACTTTAGCTACGATGGCTTCTTCTTTTGATGTTCTGTTTGAATTTTTTTGAGTTTTGGAATCATCCTTTCCCTTCTTATTTACTGCAGTTTCGTTCTTTCTTCTTTTGTCTGGGCAATCTCTTGCGATGTGTTGATAATTTCCACAAATATAACATTCTTTTCTTCTCGCGTGAGATCTTTCGTGTTTTCGATATTCTTTCTCATGGGTGGCGGAATATATTGTATCTTGTTTGCACATGTTGTATCCAGGAATCTCGGTGATCGCTTAATTCCATTTCGAACTTCGTCGAAAGATTTTCCTTTGGACCGTGAAAATAAATATCACATTCTGTAGCTAATTCTTGAGGCTTCAACCATTTATTTCCTTGGCGTATTGCGACGTGTGCAGCTGTTTCTTCATTTAAAGCTTGGAATAATTTATCCGAAATAATTAACTCCTTGAAGTGTTTCGAAAATCCTTTTACTTCTCTTGACTTGGCAGTAATAGTCCCATGTAGCTGTTAGTCTTGAAGCGAACTGGATATGCGTTTCGCCGGAATAACGTTTAGTTCTCCTGAAGTTTTCTAAACAGGTTTGAGGAGTAGGTTGATATTCCTTCAGAACAAGAGTTTTCACTTTTTCGTAATTTTGCAGATCTTCCTCCTTTATATAAACAAGAACATTTGAAGCTTTTTCTCCAATTAATTTCAATAATATTTCTGATTTGTATTCTTCGGAAACCTTCTTGTGCTTAAATGCTCTTTCGATAGAATCGAAAAATATATTCCATTCTTCTGCTCTCTGCGGTACTGGTATAGTCAGTGTTTCTACTCCTTTGATCAGCTTGTCCAGGGAAATTTCGGTTTCTCGTTCTGTGTTTTGGATTAAAGGCGTTGGACTGCTACTTCCTTCATTTTGATTTGCTCGAATCTTCGCTAATTCTATTTCGTGTTCTCTTTCTGTTCTTATTCTTTCTTCTTCCATTTGCATTCTTTCCATTTCTTCTTTTCTTTTTCTATTCTCCACTGTAGTAATCAGAATTTCTTTCACGAAATCAGCATCTTCGATGTATTCCTTGCTATTCTGGAGTTTGTGTTTCAGTTCTACCAGCTTCAAATCTGGGGTGCTTCTTCGCCAATTTCCAATAGGACTGTTACTAAATCCTCTTTCTTTGCGTTTTTGAACATTTTCTTCTATTTTCCTTTAGAATCAAGCCTTTCAAACTCTCGATTAAATAATTCTCATGCTTTTACTCCCTTTTGCAAAAGCGCACTTCTTTAGTGGATTAGGCTTAACTTTACTCCTCTTTCGTTTTCAACGCTCTAAGCTTCTAACCTCTCTGGTTATCTCGTAAGAGAGTGTGTTGTGATGACTTCGTGGTTTAATAAGGCACCATTTATAGCAAGACGAAACAAACATTTATTAAATATATGATTCAAAGCATAATATAATAGTGACTCAGAGCAGTACGTCGCTCATACCGCATAGTACAATCTATTACCTTCCTCTTCCGAGGCTAACATGCAACTCCTAATAAATACATTAACCCTTCTCGGAAAAGAGCTACCTGCGCCAAGCACGCTCTGTTGATCGCCAAACAGTCGCCAGATATCACAGTCACTAAAATCCAGGGGAATGAATTTTTGATTAGTGAATCTTGATAATACTTAGCAAATATTTCGCTCTGCTCTTCTGCTGACCAGGTGCGGCAGTTCTGGTACTTTAAGATGTTATTCGAGAACTAAGTCTGACTTCTTTTCTTTTGAATATTTTTAACTATCTTAAATAAATTGCCATCCTTTCTGGTATGACTGCAAATTTTTTCCCAATACAGCCTTCTCTTGATTTTAATAACCCTTTTAATAAGGTAAGCGTTCCATTTCTTGGAAGAGATCCAGCAACCTCTTGAAAGATGTGCTTTAGCGAGTCTAAGGCATTTCCTTTTCTGGCTGTGAGAACAGAGAATTCTCACAGTGAACAGCATGGCATCATCGATTCTTGTATCGTTATCGCGCGCTACCCACGTGCGTCGCAGTGTAAAAAACAGGAAGGACTGGTTTGTCTTCCTCTTTCTTTTCTGTCTGACGTCGTGTTAACGAGTGTGTGGGCCTTCGGGCCACACACTCAGCTCTCGCCATCGTTCCTGCATTTTTTCACGTGGAATGTCGTCGTATTTTGCATAGAAAGAAGCAGAAGTAAGAGATGTAATATCCAGAGGAAAATGCTTGTTTTGAGACTCACTACGTCCTGCTGCCGTGAATAACGCAAAAAAAAAAAACGCTCAAGCAGATTATCAATAGGTGTTCGACTCCAAGAGGTGCTTGACCAGCGATGGGTCACCACGTGATGATAAGTGTGTTAAGGAAACGTGAGTGTGAAAAAAGAAGAGTTTGCACGTGTGTAATAAGACTGTGCGACAATACGAAAATGAGTATGAGAAAATTTCGACTGCAGATATATCCGATGAGACAGGATTGCCATTGATCTACGAATCGTCACGTTTCGGCATTCACTGACCATTCCATTTTAATTTATCACGTTGTGTATATCTAAGTTATGATATTTTGATATTTTATATGTGTGTGATAAATGTTCCATATTTAATCCAAAAAATGTGTTTGATAAAATAAATGTGAGATTAGAAAAAGAGAGTTACCGACTCATGCATGCCTTATTGGGTAAGTCATTTTATTCTTATTAGTAAAGATCATGCAATGTACTAACCACTAAATTTTAGTTTAATTATTTGCGCGGAATTAATTTTTATTTGATACTCTTAGTATCGTTACTTTTAGGCGATCACGCCAACAACACCACATGAGGATTACAGAAAAATTAAACTATAGCACAGATCAAAATTATAATAACTGACTATTTAAAATCATGAGCTTGTAACTAAGAATAAAAAATTACGCTGCTCATTGTTTATTTAAAACATTGTTTATGAACTATAATCAATATATGAAATGAAAAATATTATATAGTGAGTCCATAAAGTCAAGGTGCACTTTTGATCGGTCACAAGAAAGCCACAAAACAAGATAGAAATGGGAAATCTTCACCAAACAAAAGAAAACCTCTTGAAGTTTCGTACCAATTCAGTGCAGTTTAACTCTTCCGTATAGCCTCTACAGACTCGTCGCTGACCGATGGCTTACCAAAACGAGGTTTGTCCAACAAGCTGCCGGTATCCTTCAACTGCTTATCCCACCGATTAATGTTATTCCTATGTGGTGGCGGTTCGTTGTACACGCGACGATATTCACGTTGAGTTTTGGTCTCTGTTTCGAATTTGGCAAGCAGCAGAACACACTGAACTTTCTTCTCTACGTCCACATCTCGACTGGCGTGCGCGTGGATGGACTGATGATCTGCTTCCCAATTCGCGAAGTTATCACCTGTGTGCGCACATGCTTGCACATCATACTACGAAAACTTGGAGAATTTTCCTTTTGTTTGGTGAAGATTTCACATTTCTATCTGGCTTTGTTGCTTTCCTGTGACCGATCAAAAGTGCATCATGACCTTACGGATGCTCTATATATAAGCTATGATTGATATGTGCGAAATATATAAGTTTAACTGTTTAAAACTTTTCATTGTGATGAAGTTTCCCAATGAAATAATTAAGTATCCCTTGATATCAAGATATGTGATATTTGTTTTGCAAAAAAAAATTAAATTTGTTCTTCAGAGCCATATTTATTTACTGTCGGTTGAAAAATATCACGCTATGGATGAAAGGACCATAAAAATAATTCATTTAATTTTAATGTTATTTTGCGTAAGAGGAAAAATTAAAAACTATCAACAGGAAACTGCTATCACACGTCTCGCCTGCTGATAAAATAAATCTTCAGATTACGGCATTTTGCGAGATTTTCAGCTGTTCATTTTTCCACGCGCATTCAGATTTCTCAGATTGAAATAATGTATTGCTATAGGATATGGTATCTATTACGTCAAACTCGAATTGACACCATTTTTTTTTAATCAGACATTCCGTATTTTATAAGAAGTGAGAAACACAGGTGCATTTTTTTCAGATTGAGATAGCTTGGAGATAAGAGTGGTATTTCAAAAGACAAACGGACGAACCGAAGTCACTCACAGTTTAGTTTGTTTCTCAAGGGTCAATATGAAGCTGTTCGTGGTACTTGCTTTTGCTCTGGCCACTGTGGTCCTTGCGGAGGTCGATGATGAAGGTGATCAATTTAATATTTTATTCATTTAAATTTCATTATTAAAAGTATTTTCATTACTTTTTTCATAAATTGGTATTCTTTTCGGTAATAATTTTTGATAAATCTAAATATAAAAAACATGTTTTAACTTTTAATACATAGAGTGGCTCAAAAACTGTATACACTATTTAATTGGGAATAATTGTTAAACGTGTAAGACCTATCTCTACTCCACATACACTAACATAGATCCTAGAGTGAACTTGGCGAATTCTCGCACAGGCGTGAATTAAATACCAACACAGAAGAAAGGAGCAAAATAACCCTTTATTAAATCAAACTAATTTAATAGAAAAGCACGGACTTTGTGCGTTACAAAACACCGTTCACTTGCGGTGGTAACTAAACGTAGATTATAATACAAATTAAATCTGAAAAATAAACGAGTGCAAGAATGCACTTCAAAACAACTTTAAATAAATTTGTTATGCAAAATAAGGAAAACCTTACAAAGGAATAGGAAGGAAAATCCCACTTTTGGTAGCTTCATATTTTAATGTTTTCTACTGTATTGTGTTTGCTATGATCAGCTATGCGCTGAAGAAGGTTTTTGTGAGTGAATGATTTATGGAGTCCCCATACGTAAACGCTAGAGGCGTGAGATCTGAGAAATATGGAGGATAGTCGACAAACCCTCTTCAACCTAGCTTTTTATTAAGAAACATCCTGAAAAGAGGATGGTCGTACGCTGGGTTCCCATCTTCTTGGAGACAAAAATGTTCTTTGCCTAGAGATCTTTAATGGAAGGCAATATCTCTGGCTTCTGCAAATACTCCTCATCGGTAACTGTGCGGTCAATGAAGAACGGTCCAGAGAAGCCACGATAAAACAAATCACACCATACATACCCCGGTAGTTTCATGGCTTGGTCCAAGTAGATTTCCAGATTCACAGAGACCAGTAGACACAGTAGGCTAATTTTTTGCCGTACACGAGTCAAACCTTTCGTGTTTTATTTTTTATAATGAGTACAACATTTTCTTAAATGTAAGTATAGGGACTGGAGTAATGTACAAAATGTAAGATTTCTTATTTTTAATAAAATAAATAACTTTAAGTTAAAAAATAAGAACACATTATTCTGTGCACATTTAAAATACTTTTGTACCTGGAACCAATGACCAACGATGATTACGAAAATAAAGGCCAGGCTAAGGACTTTTGCGGACATGGTGTATAACTGCAAATAACATAATTTAACATAATTTTAGTTAACTTACTTTTTAGAAATCTTATATCACAGTTTATTATATTGATTGGAGATGACATCTTAGCTTCAGTAGTAGATTGGTAATTTCTAAACTTTAAATCCTTAGAAAATATTTCTTGACTCTTCAGTAGTTCGAAATCTTGCATCTGTTTACTGTTAACTATGATTTCAGATTTGTCCTGGTGCATCTAAAATACCATTTTAAGGAAGTCATTTGAGAACAAAGAGAATGCTGTAAGAGATTAAGTCCCGAAGGGCTCCCTTCTTTCAACTTTAAATTCTCTTCATAACGCAAAAGATCTATTTGTATTTTTCTGCCAGGTCATCAGCATTTAAATTGGCCTTTTTAGTTTATAGTTTTACTTGTTTTCCCATTAGTCTTTCTTACAAAGATCTCAATACTAATGCACTTATGCGTATCAGAGCTGCTAATTGTCAAAAATCTGAAAAACATTAGCAAATTCCTTTGCAAATGTTTATTTTTTAAGTATAACCCACCAATTGCCGAGCAGTCAAGTTGCTGACCACTGGTAGTTCGGTTCGACGTTCGAATCCCTCGAATACGCTGGTTGCATGGGCGTTTTCGTGCTTTTAATAGTCGAACAGGCTGGTCCGAATAAATAAACCAGTTTCCCTTAAATCTTTCTTCACGAAGGCATCCCTCCGTTAAAGCGAGCTAACCTTCAAGTGCTTTGCCATAATCAAATACCTTCTTAAGTATAAGTTTCATACCATCTGCGAATCTGCCAAAAATCTTAAATTCTGTTCGCATAAATATATATATAGTTTTATAACTCAATCTTCAGATAAAGCAGAAGATTTTAACCGACTGAGCTATGAATCTATTAATCAGAGGGTGTGTGTGTGTTGTCTCTCTTCATGAGTCATAAATTCAAAGATCGTTTCGTTTCAGGAGTCAAGGTTGGGAGAGCATTAGAATTTCAAATCAAAATTTCAAGAGTTCACGGAACATAGAAATAACATTTATTAACGATAAACTTATATTACTTATATTACTTCCGCCTATAGCGGCCATGAAACATAATCAAGCATCAAATAAATATGACATGCGTCATTCTTCATGTTCAAGCGTCAAGTGGAAATATTTTCATCGGCGCGCATCAAGAGCGCCACCTATCTACCAAAAAGACGGAACATACTCCGCCCCGATGAACATTGGTTCATTACAACATCGTTATAAAAATCTTCAATTTTAGATTCAAACAGTTTTCCCAAACGTTCAACAGTATATCATATAAAATAACAAATGCATAATGACAAATTTAAATTGAATAATAACATTAAATTTAGCACACAAATTTTACAAATAAAACATACTTACAATCTCTAGAAGTGAAAACAAAATGAATGAAACTGCTAGATTACCATAATCCACAATTTTTAATCCTTTCTCTGAATCTGAAACACATTACTGAATTAATAATAGTAAAGACACAAATTATGAATATACAATGAGTGTTTTTTTAGAGTCTTATTCACTCAATGGTAAGTGAGAAAGTTTATGTATAGGACACTTTATTTTGCCCAATAAAGTTTTTAGTTTCACAACACGAACTTTTCCATCAGCACCAGGATATAGTTCAATTACTCGTCCAAGTCGTCACTTTAATGGAGGCAACTTTTCGTCTTTTATTAAGACTAAGTCATTGAAGGCTAAATTTGGTTTATCCCTCAACCATTTGGTATGCCCTTTGTAATTGTAAATAGATCTCTAGGCCAACGTTTCCAAAAGCTCTGGAAAATTTGCTGTGTCAATTTCCATCTTTCAGCAGGTGTTAGCTTATTATTTGTAAAATCAGGTTCAGGAATTGCGGTTAATGTAGTCCCAATTAGGAAATGTCCAGGTGTTAAAGGATTAAAATCTTCAGGGTCAGATGAGATGGAAACTATTGGCCTTGAATTCAAATACGCCTCGATCTGTGTAATTAAGGTGTGAAATTCTTCGTATGTCAGAACCTGGGTCCCAATAGTCCGCTTTAACCCTTTGAGGGGCGGTATATAAAATAATTTAAACTGTGGTAAAATTTTGCATGAACTATAACTTATGGACCCTAAGGATACAAAATTGAGACTTAAAAAAAATCTAGAGCGAAATCCTGAATTTTGAGAGCCGGTATATATTTTATACCGGCGCCCCTCTAGGACATTTTTTTCCAGGTAGCTGCCAACTATTAATCTTTGTTTTTAAAATTAATTGTGGGTAATTTTGATGTGCGTCTGTAGTGATGAGTTCTTGAATATAGTTATGTAAGTCTAAAGACAATTTTTTTTTTAAATTTTGACAGAAATTTAAAATTTTAAAAATAAAATTTATGTTTTTTATGCATTTTGATGACGCAACCCAGCTGAACATACTTTGTAAAATGGGTAAAAAGCTTTTCAACTTGATTTAAATTCAATATTATTTTATAAAAAAATTTAGCAATATAACACTTCATGTGTAATCGTATCATGCTGTAACTGAACTAGTATAATAGTACAAGCAGATGTAACTCAGCCGAAAATTAAAAAATTGAAAAATGAAGCACTACGACCGACTCAGCTCAGAAAGTATGTTGCATTTTTTAAGTTGTATTTTATGCTTTAGATAATACGTGAAAAAAACCATGCTTCATACTATGATACGAAGATTCGCCCCCCCCCCTCCACGCACACACACTTTAGATCATCGAGGACTGTAAGGGTCCCCTTTTTATTTTTTGTAAATATAGATTGTAATATATCTTTTTGTTCAGTAAGAAACGCCATTAAACAATTTTATTATTTGATACACCTCAAAGCTCTTTTTCTGATTTTCAACCCCTTCGGCTTCCTAGTGGCTTCTTTTTCAACTTTTGGATAAATTTTAGTTTGCATCTAAAATGGGCCTTAGAAATATTTTTCCTCCTTTCATACCAACTGTGAAATTATTTTGGAAACAACCTATTTCTATCAACGAGAGCGCAGATTTCTCTTTGTTTCTCTAGTCTTTCATCTGAAATTAACAAAGAATTTCCCTAAAGAATAAAAGCATGCTTTCAAACCAGCAGTTTTTGTGAAGGAAGAGCGACAAGAGCTCGCGACTTCGGGTGAGATGGACCTTAAGTACATTTCCATTTTAAGTGAGCTTTCCCTTTGTGTGATCTTCTCATACCTCACAAGGGAAGAAGGCGTGACTCCCGAATGACAAATTGGTTGTCAATCCCCATCACCTTTTCATTTTCCTTGCATTCTAGAATTTTGAAAAAACACTTAGCAACGGGTGTCTTTTGGGGGCTAACATGCCACATTAACCCCCCACAATTTGTAAAGTTTTGACCCCAGAATGGCAAATTTGAAATCGATGAGTCTTTCTCTCTGGAAAAGAGATAAGTGCTGAAATAAAAATTTTAGCTAAACACAGACGAATGAAACTCGAGCTGAGTACACAAAGAATAAATGAAACTAATATACTTGTATTCAGTCCTAGCGCAGAGTCAATAAACTCCCCATTCCTCCATGAACATAATACTGAATCCTAAACGACTTTAAAATTATCATATTTCATCATAAACTGTTGTAATAATAGAAATTCGTCATGTCACAGATTATAAAAGGAGAAGAATGGTGCTGCTGCCATCTATTGCGTGGGGTACCCTCAGTGTGGCGCCGGTATATATTATATACCGGTTTTTAAAATCGTATAAATAATCTTCTGTTAATTATCATTTCTGACAAAAATGAAGTAAATATAAGATTCAGCATGTGTACG